GGGGACACTTGGGGACACTTGGGGACAGCCAGGCAGGGCCACCAGGCTGGGCCAAGGGACCTTGTGCCGCCTTGGTGGCACCAGAAGTGTCCCCAAGCTGGGGTTGTGGACAGTTCTTGGGGGTCACTGAAGGGTTAGGCCTTGGGGACACTTGGGGGGGCCTTGGGGACACTTGGGGACAACAATTGAGGGCCACCAAGCTGGGCCAAGGGACCTTGTCCCGCTTTGGTGGCACCAGAAGTGTCCCCAAGTTGGGGTTGGGGACAATCCCTGGGGGTCACTGAAGGGTTTGGGACACATGGGGACACCAGGGGACACTTGGGGGCAGCAGGGGACACTTGGGGACAGCCAGGCAGGGCCACCAGGCTGGGCCAAGGGACCTTGTCCTGCTTTGGTGGCACCAGAAGTGTCCCCAAGCTGGGGTTGGGGACAATCCCTGGGGGTCACTGAGGGGTTTGGGGTGGCTTTGAGACACCTGGGGTGGCACTGAGGGGACACTTAGGTGTGGCACCATTGGGGAAGGAACACCCAGGGGACACTTGGGGACACTTGGGGACCTCACCTTGTGCCTTGAAGGCCCCGTGCTGCTGCCGGAACACCTGGGGTGGCACTGAGGGGCCACTTGGGGATGTCACCACTGGGGAAAGGACACCCAGGGGACACTTGGGGACATCAGAGGGGGGAAGGTGACGCTTTGGGGACCTCACCTTGTGCCTTGAAGGCCCCGTGCTGCTGCCGGAACACCTGGGGTGGCACTGAGGGGCCACTTGGGGATGTCACCACTGGGGAAAGGACACCCAGGGGACACTTGGGGACATCAGAGGGGGGAAGGTGACGCTTTGGGGACCTCACCTTGTGCCTTGAAGGCCCCGTGCTGCTGCCGGAACACCTGGGGTGGCACTGAGGGGACACTTGGGGATGTCACCACTGGGGAAAGGACACCCAGGGGGCACTTGGGGACATCAGAGGGGGGAAGGTGACGCTTTGGGGACCTCACCTTGTGCCTTGAAGGCCCCGTGCTGCTGCCGGAACACCTGGGGTGGCACTGAGGGGCCACTTGGGGATGTCACCACTGGGGAAAGGACACCCAGGGGGCACTTGGGGACATCAGAGGGGGGAAGGTGACGCTTTGGGGACCTCACCTTGTGCCTTGAAGGCCCCGTGCTGCTGCCGGAACACCTGGGGTGGCACTGAGGGGACACTTGGGGACACTCAAGGGACACTTGGGGGTGGCACCATTGGGGAAAGGACACCCAGGGGACACTTGGGGACACTTGGGGGACCTCAACGGGGGGAGGTGACACTTGGGGACACTTGGGGACCTCACCTTGTGCCTTGAAGGCCCCATGGGGACACTGAGGGGTGGCACTGAGGGGACACCTGGGGGTGGCACCATTGGGGAGGGGACACTTGGGGACCTCACCTTGTGCCTTGAAGGCCCCGTGCTGCTGCCGGAACACCTGGCCGGGGGCGCGGCCCTGGAGCAGCCTCAGGTACCCCCCCGTCCCTGTCCCTGTCCCTGTCCCTGTCATTGTCACCTGGTCTGGCCCTGGCCCTGGCCCTGTCCCCTCCTGCAGCTCCGGCGGCTCCGTGTCCCGCTGCCACACGGTCACCACGATCTGGGGACACCAAGGGGACACCGCGGCGTCACCAAAGTGTCCCTAAGGTCACCGCGCTGTCCCCTCCCCACCCCCAATGTCCCCAAGGTGTCCCCAAGGTCACCGCGCTGTCCCCTCCCCACCCCCAATGTCCCCAACAAAACCCAAGGAATAATGGGAAAAGCCAAGGAAAAACAGGAAAAATCCAACAAAAATTGGGGAAAATCCAGGAAAAATGGGAAATCCCAAGGAAAATTGGGAAAACCCAAGGAAAAATGGGAAAAATCCAGGAAAAATGGGAAAAACCCAAGGAAAATTGGGAAAACCCAAGGGAAAATGGGAAAACCCAAGTAAAAATGGGAAAAAAGTGGGAAAATGGGGGGAAAATGGGAAAAATGGGGGGAAAATGGGAAAAACCCAAGGAAAAATGGGGAAAACCCAACAAAAATTGGTAAAACCCCAAGGAAAAATGGGAAAAGCCAAGGAAAAATCCAACAAAAATTGGGAAAAATCCAGGAAAAATGGGAAAATCCAAGGAAAAATGGGAAAACCCAAAGAAAAATGGGAAAACCCAAGGAAAAATGGGAAAGCCCAATGAAAATTTGGAAAAACTAAGGAAAAATGGGGAAAAAACAAAGAATAATGGGAAAACCCAAGGAAAACCCAACGAAAAATGGGGAAAACCAAGGAAAAATGGGAAAAACCAAAGAATAATGGGAAAACCCAAGGAAAATCGTGAAAGCCCAAGGAAAAATGGAAAAAACCCAACAAAAAATGGGAAAAACCCAAGAAAAAACTGGAAAACCCAAGGAAAAACCAGGAAAACCACAAAGTCCCCAGCCACAACCGCCCGGAAATTCCGGAAGGTTCCGCCGCTCACCCCCGCGCCGGCGGCGCCCGGAGGGCCCCGGGAGTGCGTGAGCAGCGCGCGGCACTCCCGGAACAGCTCCCGGGGATCCTCGGCGCCGCTCCCGAAATCCCCGGGCGGCTCCTCCTCGTCGCGGGCCCGGCCGTCGCCGCTGGTGACGGTGGCGAGCGCCGACAGCGACGCCGCCAGCTGAGCCCACGGCGTTTTTCCCGGGAAATTGGCGGCGGAGTGGGCGTGGCTTCGGGCGGAGTGGGCGGGGCTCCCATCAGAATTGGCGGGAGTTCCGTCGGGATTCCCGTCGGGATTCCCGTCGGGATTCCTGTCGGCGCTGCCGGGGTTCTTGCGCAGCACCAGCAGGAAGCGCACGGTCTCGCCCAGGTACAGGTGGTTGCGGCGCGGCAGCGCGCGGTAGCCCGAGGATTCTCCCGCCAGGAATTCCCGCGGAGGGAAGGGAACGGCCGGGAAGTACATGGAGTAATCGCACTGGGATTCCATGGGGAAAGGGGGGGGAAAAATGGGAAAACTAGGAGGGAAAAGCAGGAAAAATGGGGAAAAATTGGGAAAAATAGGAGAGAAATAATGGAGAAAGCTAGGAGGGAAAATGGGAAAGAATGAGGGGAAAATGGAGGAAAAATAGGGAAAAAATGGGGGGAAAAAGAGGAAAATATTAGGGAAAATAGGAGGGAAAATGGGGGAAAATGGAGAAAAGAATTAGGAAAAAAGGGAAAAAATAGGAGGGAAAATGGAGGGGAAAAAGAGCAAAAAATTTGGAGAAAAGAAGGAAAAATAGGAGAGAAAATGGAGAAAAAAATTGGGAAAAATGGGAAAATAGGAAGGAACAAATTCCTGGAATTTTGGGGTGAGTTTGTACCTTTCAGAGGTAAACTGAGGCACGGAGAGGTTCCACAGGAAAATTCCCAAAATTCCTGGAATTTTGGAGGGATCTGTACCAATTTTTGGGGAAAATTCCTGAAATTTTCAGGGGAAACTCCCAAAATTCTTCGAATTTTTGAGGGTCCTACCCCGAATTTTTTTGGGAAACTGTTCCACAGGAAAATCCCCCAAATCCCTGGATTTTTGGGGCTCTTATCCCAAATTTTTTTGGGGGAAAAAAGGATCAAAACCATAGGAAAACTCCCCAAATTCTTGGGGTTCTGTGCTGGTTTTTGGGGAAATTCCAGGGATTTTTGGGGAGAAATTCTCGGGATTTTTTGGGGAGAATTTCCCGAAATTCTTGGACTTTTTAAGGGTCCTATTCCAAATCTTTTTTGGGGAAACTGAGGCACAATAACTTTTTCCAGGAAATGGACGCCCAGGGAGTGGGAATTCCAGGGAACGTTCCAGAACCTGTAGGGCAGCTCGGGCAGCGCTCGCGCTCGGCGGGCTGGGGAGTCCCAAATTCCCCAAATTCCGGGGGGTTGGGGCAATTCCCCAAATTCCTGGGGGTTGGGCTGGTCTGGGGGAAATCCCTGGGATTTTGGGGGAATTTCTGGGTTTTGGGGAGAATTTCCTGAAATTCCTGGGATTTTTGAGGGCCCTATTCCAAACTTTTTGGGGAAACTGAGGCACAATAAAAACCCCTCAATTCCTGAAATTTTGGGGTCCTATCCCAAATTTTTGGGGAAACAAGGATTGAATCCACAGGAAAATTCCCCAAATTCCTGGAAGTGTGGGGAAAAAGTTTTGAAATCATGGGAAAATTCCCAAAATTCGTAGAATTGTGGGGAAAAAGGATTGAATCC